TTGGAATATACTAACTGTAGAAGTACAAATGTTAGGACACAAAGAACACAAGAAACAAGTCTTCTATTTGTCATAAAGACAAATTAACAAAACAGCAGTAGTCACCCTGTTTTGATTCTTTCCTTTATAACATCTTCTCTTATTATATTTTGCGGCGCTGTCGTGACACTTTCAACACAGTAAGAATTTCTTGAACGTTTTTTTTCCAGTAACAGTCCAAACTCAAATAACGTAGGGGGGGGGGGCGTAACACGGGTGACGACGCATCTGTATAATCTGCGGACAAACCGTTTCAGGGTGTTCTGTACCATAAAAATAGTACAGAGATTCTTTTGTTCTTTAGACCAAATTGATTGTTAAAAAGAGTGAAGAATACGCATGTTAATTTCTCTAGAACGATGTACCTCTGACGAAGACATGAGATCTCCGACCTCTAGTTACTTATACATCTAAATCTAAGCGTTTAAGCTATCTAGAGACGATGTCCCTACTGTACTTGGTGGCAGCGAGTTCCACTCTTCGTTAGGTCTAAAATACATGTACTACGGAAAACGTAAGAAAACAAAACCACACACAAGTGACACATACTTCTACACATCGGCCTCACCAAAGTCTAAATTGATAGAAACGATGTCGAAGAAATCAAGTTGCGTTTTGTTCCCTACGATCTAAGTATAATTTTGAAACTATTTCCGACCAACATAGGGTATAAAGACTCATTGAAGTTGTGCATTATCACTAAGGCTGCATGCTCTATAACTGTTATCGCTCAGAAACATTCCCATTGGAAACACGCGTAGTCACTATAAAACTAACCAAAGTATATTTACTATAAATTTCTCGAATGACTTTATATATAAGCGCGTAAAATAAGCCCTATTAGTAAACGGCGATGTAGGACTAAAAAGGATGAGACTAATACATGTAGTAGACATTTTTGCCGCAACAAACTTATTCTAAGGTAAATCGTTTTTGTCTGGGCTTCATTTTTTGGCATCAGACGCTAGAGTATGACGCTCGAGCCGGCGTCGGCGTTTTGAAATAACAAAAGGACGAGTGGCGATCAGGTATTCCCACTGATCAATGACGATTCGCAATTCCGACAATAGGTAGAACAACAAACCCTTTACCTGCCCGACCAAGCTGTAAAGATGCGCTCCGATTGTTTACACTTCCATCTATGGTCTGTATTGTTTGTTTCTTTATGTCGGCATTTCACAATAAGAACAATAGAAGAAGGGAAGTCTTTGATGCACACCTTAAAAACGCCACGCGCTGGATTCAAACCACAAGTCGCTACTGACTCCTGACGACAACACCAGCACGTTCTCGCTATTCGATTTACTATCAGTATGACAGGAGAGAGCTTCTCGGGACAGATGAGCGGATCGTCGAACGACAACCTGCCGCTGCGCCGCTACGACACCGAGGGCATGCCGCAGGACAACCCGCCTCAGACCGGCAGCTTCTCGCCTGCAGACCACAGCCGACTCGACAGCTCGGCTCCCTCGGACAAGGCCCAGCCCGACACCGAGAAGGACACCGAGTCGGCCAGCGCCAACCGTCGGCGTAGAAAGCAGAGACCCGCCGGCAAGCCGCCCTACAGCTACGTGGCCCTCATCACCATGGCCATCGTCAACTCCCCCGAGCGCAAAACCACCTTGGCGGGCATCTACAAGTTCATCATGGACCACTTCCCCTACTACCGGGAGGCCGACAAGAAGTGGCAGAACTCCATCCGCCACAACCTGACGCTGAACGACTGTTTCGTCAAGCTGGCCCGGCACCCCAACCGTCCCGGCAAGGGCAGTCTGTGGGCGCTGGATCCCGGGGCAGAGGGCATGTTCGACAACGGCTCCTACCTCAGGAGAAGGAGCAGGTGAGATACATTTTGTATTTCCTATCTTTTTGTTTGTATGATGTACTTCTCCATATCGGGATTTGGTGGCGATTATGTACGATACATTTCACCGTCTTGAATTTGGTACGAGTACCAGTCTTGTTCGAAAAAGTTTTACAAACTAAATTTGATTGCTTGCTTCTGTTTTTGTCCAGTCTTAAATTTTGATATATACTTTGCTTCTTGTCGATTGCTTTCTTGTATTTTTGTTCAGTCAAATAAATTTTGATATATACTAGTGATTGTGATTTATGCAGTGTACATTTTGTTTATATATGTTTTTTTTTTCGACCGACGATTATACTACTAGTAATTTGTACATTGTACCCACAGCTGAGTTGTACCCACAGTTATACTGATCGATGTTTGCTTTTGTCTCCTTTGTTTCTCCAGATACAAGAGATCACACCAGACCAACAACAACCTCCTGCCGACCAGCTACCCGCCCCAGCCCGCCGTGCCGTCCTACCCGCCGCCGCCCTACCCCAACATGGCCCCCGTCACCGGCACCACCCCGCTCTTCCTCTCCACGTCCTACCCGCAGACAACCTCGGCCCAGCCCTCGGGGCACCTCGCCACGTCGTACCGAGGGTCCCCGTCCAGCACCGGCGTGATGTCGGCCAGTCCGGACAGCTCGTCAACAGACGGCAGCGTCAGTGGAGGGTCGTCCCCGGGCGGACAGACATTAGGTAAGGACAAACTTCTACGGTTTGAATACTATGCAATGTAAAATAAGTGTTGTCGTCTCTGTGCATTCGTCTAGAAATGCTTAAAGAAGAGAGTATGTAAAGTATCTAAAGCTATAGCTATAGTACATAGAATTTTCCTATAGTGTTATCACCATAGTGTTTCCCTATCACTATTACTATTATGAGTATTACCATTATATCTATGAATATGCAATAACTTTTAAATTATCATATCGCTAACATACGATTTGTGGACGATGTGGTTTTATTTGTGACAAAACATCTCATTGCATTTTTCACTCCATCTTGCAGGGTTGTCTCCGGTTGACACCAGCACCTTCCAGCAAGGTCTCCTCACCACTGCGCCCCCTAGCGGCTACAACAGCAGACCCACCCCCTACACCAGCACAGCGCCCGGCGTGACGTCCTACTCCGCCGCGTCCACCGCCAACCCCGCCGCTCTCTACCAGAGACCGACCCCACAGACACAGCCGATCACCAACAGCTCCTCCTACGTGCCGCCTCACAGCGTGTACCGAGCGTCTCCCTACCCAGCCGCCGGGGCCGGGAACAGCTACCCGCAGACGGGGATGTACAACGGCTACTCGGCGCCTCAGGGGAACAACAGCTACTACAACATGAACTCTTTGTCTCACTTCCACGGCGCAAACATGGAGATGTTCGCCAACTGTTTGTAAATGATGATCTGAGATACTAGTATGCAGGAGAATGACTGATTTGTGGCTGAGTATATTGTAATGACTGTCTGTAAGTGATTTGTTAGTCACAGCACTTTGAATGTACTGATGCCAATGAGAAAATTGTGAGAATACACAAGCGCCCAAAATCGTTTCGCCTAATTGTGGATTAACTGATTTCATGTACACTACTATGTCCTGTTATAACGGCAGAGGAACTGTAGCATTTGAAGCAAAATGATGTACATGTGTATTTCTTTGAGTGAACATATGTTCCTGAGAAAATACGATCTCACTTTTTCTAGCGATGCACGAAAATTTGAACCTCACTGGTTTGTCTAACGATAATGTCACTGTAACGATCACATGAACTAATTTAACTTATCCATTGGCAGACCGGAGTCACTGTCAATTTTGTAAATTGTTGTAAATCCACAGAGTGAAAAATAAATGTTTATTTTATTGTGAATACATGTCTCAATGTCATGATGCATAAAAGACGTTCGAATCGCGAAGCCCTAAAATCTCTAAATGTCTTCAAAACATTTCCCTCAAAATAACCCGTCGTACCTCAAACTGTTTCAAAACTAGGAAAACTCCTCAGGGAAAAGCTGGTGATGCTCACATATATCATGAACACATTGTTTAGGCCGCTCTGTCTTCATGATAATTATGTGTGCATCAACTTCGGTACGTTTAATATGCATTAGTACAAGTAGGCTGAAAATTTCGAGCACGATCTCAAAAAGGCGTTCAATCAAACAGATGAAGTTATCACTGCAGGAAAGCTGGGGCAAAATGATTTGGGTCGGTCGCCATTGACACGATAATTCTGCTAGTAACATACTGCAAACAAACTGTTTTGACTGAATTAATGAAGCAGTTTCAAAGCTCTATCAGTGAAATTTGCAGTCATTTCACTGATAGACATCCTTATCATGGCTTGTCGTTTGTTGCTTTTCAGGAGCTTTAATTTTGCCGGTAACAGAATTCTAGAAATCCATTTGGTCAATGTTATATTCGTAATTAGATTAGTAGCTTCATTCCACCAGACAGGGCCGTTTTAAACACCTGTGTGAAAGCATGGTACGACAAGAATACTCTGGGATGTGACTCTTCGATTTTGTGTCAGCAGAATATCTTACCAGTCTCGTTGTATACTTAGGATAAAGTATGGATTTTCTTACCTGCTGAATCTTGGTGGAAAACGTAAAAATGGCCAGATATAGTAGTATGCAGTTGGAATTTTCGAAGGGAATTCGACGCACCCGGCCATATTTGGGATAGTGACCTTAGAATCAACGTGGACACCTGTTGCATGCTGGGATATTGGGTCTTCTTATTAATGGTCATTCTCTTCACTACACTTTGAGGAAAGAAGTTTTCTTACACACACACGCTTTTAAGCTTTAAAAAATTTAAAAACTTTGGGTTTTGGCTTTGAAGGATGCCATCCATAGAATCTATCCAGCAAATTAAGTGGAGGTAGTGGGAAAGTGGCATTAACTAGTACTGCGTTATTTCCTACAGACGCTACAAACGGAGCTGGTCCTGTCCTTGGTGCTGATCTTAAAGTTAGCGGTCTCTTTCCACTGCGTTAACATATTCGTGGCACTACTGTTGATGGCGGGTTAGTTTGAATGTTGTCAGTCTTTTTTTTCCTAGGATGTTTTGCATCTGGAGAGAAGAGGGGTGCAAACGATAGTTGCCTAAAACTACCACTCAACATTTACACATTGCATAGTAACAAGCTAACAGTAACACACACGATCTCAGGGTTCATCAATGATTATTTTATTCACAACTGTACAAGAAAGGTATCGGATCATTCATCACCAATTCCTTTTAATGTGTTAACAAGTGGAAAGCAAACTGCCAATTACAAATGTTTAAATAAACCTCCTCTCATTTACATATCTTACAGATCATTTACAAAATGGCACCAAGGTCAAATTCAAGATGGTGATATGGTTTACTCTCGTGAGCACAAATATTACATGGAACGTGAATACAATCACAACAAGTTTATTAGGCAACATGAGAAAACATTTTTATGTCGATGCGACAAAGCATAACTCGTAGCAGTGGGTGATACAATGTTAGCAGAAATATTCGAGCCTTCAATTTACTCAATCACAATCTACGTACTAGTATCTCACAGATCATTTACAAACAGTTGGCGAACATCTCCATGTTTGCGCCGTGGAAGTGAGACAAAGAGTTCATGTTGTAGTAGCTGTTGTTCCCCTGAGGCGCCGAGTAGCCGTTGTACATCCCCGTCTGCGGGTAGCTGTTCCCGGCCCCGGCGGCTGGGTAGGGAGACGCTCGGTACACGCTGCGAGGCGGCACGTAGGAGGAGCTGTTGGTGATCGGCTGTGTCTGTGGGGTCGGTCTCTGGTAGAGAGCGGCGGGGTTGGCGGTGGACGCGGCGGAGTAGGACGTCACGCCGGGCGCTGTGCTGGTGTAGGGCGTCGGTCTGCTGTTGTAGCCGCTAGGGGGCGCAGTGGTGAGGAGACCTTGCTGGAAGGTGCTGGTGTCAACCGGAGACAACCCTGCAAGATGGAGAGAAAAATGCAATGAGATGTTTTGTCACAAATAAAACCACATCGTCCACAGATCGTATGTTAGCGATATGATAATTTAAAAGTTATTGCATATTCATAGATATAATGGTAATAGTGATAGGGAAACACTATGGGGATAACACTATAGGAAAATTCTATGTTCTATAGCTATAGCTTTAGATACTTTACATACTCTCTTCTTTAAGCATTTCTAGACGAATGCACAGAGACGACACACTTATTTTACATTGCATAGTATTCAAACCGTAGAAGTTTGTCCTTACCTAATGTCTGTCCGCCCGGGGACGACCCTCCACTGACGCTGCCGTCTGTTGACGAGCTGTCCGGACTGGCCGACATCACGCCGGTGCTGGACGGGGACCCTCGGTACGACGTGGCGAGGTGCCCCGAGGGCTGGGCCGAGGTTGTCTGCGGGTAGGACGTGGAGAGGAAGAGCGGGGTGGTGCCGGTGACGGGGGCCATGTTGGGGTAGGGCGGCGGCGGGTAGGACGGCACGGCGGGCTGGGGCGGGTAGCTGGTCGGCAGGAGGTTGTTGTTGGTCTGGTGCGATCTCTTGTATCTGGAGAAGCAAAGGAGACAAAAGCAAACATCGGTCAGTATAACTGTGGGTACAACGAAAAACTCAGCAAAAATGTACAATCCTGGGCAAAATCTTAGACACGAGAAAGTCAATCAACTACATGAAACGCAAAGAAAGGGAATTAAAAATAGTGTAATCGTCGGTCGAAAAAAACATATATATATACACATGTGTATATACAAAATGTGCTCTGAATAAATTACTATCACTAGCTATATAGTATATATCAAAATGGACAAAAACACAAGCAAGCAATCAAATTTAGTTCGTAAAACGGTTTCAAGACGGTGAAATGTATTACATAATTGTTACCAAATCCCGATATTAAATATGGAGAAGTACATCATACAAACAAAAAGATAAGAAATACAAAATGTATCTCACCTGCTCCTTCTCCTGAGGTAGGAGCCGTTGTCGAACATGCCCTCTGCCCCGGGATCCAGCGCCCACAGACTGCCCTTGCCGGGACGGTTGGGGTGCCGGGCCAGCTTGACGAAACAGTCGTTCAGCGTCAGGTTGTGGCGGATGGAGTTCTGCCACTTCTTGTCGGCCTCCCGGTAGTAGGGGAAGTGGTCCATGATGAACTTGTAGATGCCCGCCAAGGTGGTTTTGCGCTCGGGGGAGTTGACGATGGCCATGGTGATGAGGGCCACGTAGCTGTAGGGCGGCTTGCCGGCGGGTCTCTGCTTCCTACGCCGACGGTTGGCGCTGGCCGACTCGGTGTCCTTGTCGGTGTCGGGCTGGGCCTTGTCCGAGGGAGCCGTGCTGTCGAGTCGGCTGTGGTCTGCAGGCGGGAAGCTGCCGGTCTGAGGCGGGTTGTCCTGCGGCATGCCCTCGGTGTCGTAGCGGCGCAGCGGCAGGTTGTCGTCCGGCGATCCGCTCATCTGTCCCGAGAACCTCTCTCCTGTCATACTGATAGCAAATCGATAGCGAAAACGTGCTGGTGTAGTCGTCAGGAGTCAGTAGCGACTTGTGGTTTGAATCCAGCGCGTGGCGTTTTTAAGGTGTGCATCAAAGACTTCCCTTCTCCTATTGTTCCTATTGTCAAATGCCGACATGAAGAAACAAACAATACAGCCCATAGATGGAAGTGTAAACAATTGGAGCGCATCTTTACAGCTTGGTCGGGCAGGTAAAGGGTTTGTTGTTCCAGCTATTGTCGGAATAGATTCACCTGTACCTGTCTGGATAGCCAATCATCCGATGTTTGTTTTACACTCCGCTACAAGCACCGCCGGCAGAGTAATCTGTGTGGCTGAGTACTGGAAGATTTCCTTTGATCTATAGCTTCATCTGGAAAAAATCTAGAACTTGTACTTGTTTGATAATAGTTTGCTAAGGAACGATTAGCCCAAAGTTTGTCCATTACATATACTTAGTAGTATATAGTGCGAGTGTTCCAATAAGACAAAATGACAGTGTCTTTACTTTAAATTTGTTTTGTCTCAAAAATGTATACGTATTGAAGGAAGCTTGGATGGTGGGCACATGCTATTTTAGTAAAATTTGGCATGCTTTTATGGTGCAAGCATCAAGTTCTGCAAATTACCAAAGTGTATTGATGATACTGAAGTATCATCAGCTAAAAGTCTTTTGTGCAGTCGCTAATTCCAAAACACGCTTGTTTACTTTGTCAGAGAAAACAAAACTTATAATCTCAACTGCTGCCGAATATTTGACATGTAAACTAATAAATGTAAAATGAGGTGTCTCAATTTTTCTGATGTAAAAGGTAAAATGGAGATCTCAATTTTTTCTCACCTTATGATTGTGTCGACGACATTTTTGAATGCTTGATACTGTTAATTCTCTATGTGCGTGATTCGCCTGCATGTATACGTTTTCCTGAACTGTTACTGTTTTCAAACATGTATACGTTTTACATGTTACTGTTTTCAAACATGTGTACAAATTGGCCTCATCATTCAACAACGTGACAATAGATTGTGCATCTCGTCATTGTGTGAATACAAAAGTGTCGCTAATCTATTACAACATACTACAAGTACGTACACGTTTATTTGTTTTACTTTTAATACGCCTACTACATGTACTAGTATACTACTAGTACATGTAGTAGGTCATACGCCCAGAGAACAGGTAAATAACAGAACAATCACATCTTGCTAGAATAATATTTTCTTATTTCCTACATGTTTGAAGGTATGAAACACATTTGCGAATCAGGAAAATACCTTGTAATATGCGGATTGGATTTAAAAAAATTCAGAACACGGATAGTTTGGTTTAGATCAGGACCTAGTAACAAGAGAGAGGAGGGAAGATGGGTCTGTATAACAAAATTTCACCCAAGAATGTTAACTCTATACACCTGACACTTATGTATGGAAAGGTCATAGAATACATGTACATGTATTTGAAAAATGGGTTTCGAACACTGCTTGGTTTATGAAATTCCTTGATTAGAAGAAGACACGGTGTCTTGTTCGTGTTCATTAAATACTAGTATACATTCGATGGAGATACAACCGAGTTTAGGCCATGTTGATTTGATTATATGGATGTCATCCACGCGCGCATGAATTTTCGTCCGTTTCCAAAAAAAAGTTTTCGAACATACTGTAAATCGTATATAATTAGCGAAATATATGTCGTATGTTGCAAAAAAAAATATTGGAAAGCGATACTAATGCCGAAATAAATTCAGGAAAAGAAGAAAATGTGCAGAAATGAGAATAAAGAGTCTATCATTATTCGCCATACCATACTTTTCCTAAAAAAATATCTATTTTTTCTTTGGCAAGCTGAGTTGTCCCCGCCATATCTGAGATGTGTACTGTGGCGTTTTTACTAGGTTTAGTGCGACTGGCTGTCGCAATCTGATTATAATGAGACAATAACACATCACGTAGGTGCGAACATAACAATCATGATATATTCCGGCTTAGGCGGGCCACCTATGTCGGCTTGACAGAAGCGGCCTAGCGTGTATTGATCAAAGTGTGACGTCTCGGTAATTAATAAGGGCATTATATTAATCAACTTAAGAGATAAAGGAAGGCGACAAGATTCAAGAGTTAGAAGATTTGAATCCATGTTAAAAAGTTAAAGAGCCTTCCCGCGTCAAGTGACGCATAGGGCGGGGGCTAGTCCACTGGTACATGGTAGTGGAGTCTCCTTGAATCCATGGTTCCTTGGTATATCTGTGTCACTGGAACTTGTAAAGAAACAGTAGGAAAATGCCACGACCCTCTATCAACCTATATCACCTGGAATACAGCTTTGCATATTATTCCTGTGGTTTAGCAAAAATTTTGGCTGGATTTTTTTTTATTTGCCCGCGCGCACCAGTTTGGGGGTCTTCAGAGTATGTCATCCATAAAATTATGACAATTTGGCCTAATTCGATACATATACTAATATGCTCACAACGAGCATGTTCAAATAGAGATATTTCTACTCTCCAAGCAGATCTTTGGTAGTATCAAATTTATCAGGCCGTATTCATTTGCCAGGCAGTTACCATGCTACCCAAAGTAAAAGAAAATAACAAATACTAAAAACGCCTAAAACACGTCAAAAATAAACCGAAGGCTAAACCTCTGCTTGAGAAGTAAGATATTGAGAAAACTTCTGTCTTCTCTCTCACGTGTCTTCATGTATTCTATGAAACAAAATAATGGACGCCCACGGGCTACATCCTCGGGTCTGGAAATGGGTGGAGGATGTCCCGTGACAAAAACCTGTTCTGCCAGTTGTCTGGTCTTCGTGTGCACAGGGTCCGTATGTAGATTGGAACAGGCGTGCACTGGATTGAGTAAGCCACAAGGAACGCAGTTTTTTCTTCCTCTCTGCTTGAGCGAGGTACTTTTATAGTTTTTATTCTGAAGATAGGGCATGTGGGTTGTTGACGATGTACAGTGTTGTTTATTTCATGAAACACAGATTGGTTTCGACTATTTTTTGTTGGTGAATCGCGAGTTTTGTTGTGGCAGGTCGTTTTTCTTTGTTCTTTACGATTACACAAGGAACAATGGGCATTGTTTTGCTTTTGCTTTTGGAATCATGCTAGTTTTTAGAATGCTACCTAAGCTACAAGGAGAGTATAGTTTAAAAAGGCATATATCTATATACATGTAGTAAGAAAATTGAGTAAACTTGAAGGTCAGAGAATCTGGCCCAGAGCTAAACGTGGCAGGAACTGATTAAATAAGGTAAGCCATACAATCTCCTTGGTTATTCCAAAATTCTATAGATCTAGTACAGTCACGAAAACTCAAAACACTTGACACAACTCGGAAATATATGATTTCTTATTCTTCATAAGTATTCTGTGCTTTGACCATGCGAGGAAAAGGCGCCATTTGAGCTCCGTTCGTTCCTGTCTTTGTGTCTGATTCCACATGTACAGCCCACTAGAGTCACAAAAACCCCAAATACTCGACGCAACTCTGAAATGTATGCTTCCTTGTTGTCTATGTATGCTAGTCTCTACCAGACTTACGGATGGGTTGAAAAGCAGTAAAATTTAGGGTAGTTTGGCCGCCAAATACTAGCAGATGTACATGTACTTCATTTACCCGCGCCTCCCGTAGATTGGCTCTCCTAGCGATTTATTCTTCCTTTTTTAAATTAACATATTCTACGATCCGTACCCACGTAGAGACTATATGTATGTATTCTGTGCTTCTATAGTGTGCACTGAAAGGGTGTTTGATCCCAATAGTTTTATTATAGAGTGATTCCTGCCGTTGTGTCAGATTCCACAAACCCCACGGGACTAGCTAAAATGCCCCGCGCGCGGAGACGACAGAGACCAGTGAGACAGGTACACACTGCTGCTGATGCAACCATCAACGATGACGACGTCTCGGACGAAGAATACAGCGATGAAGAAGATTGGTACGATGAGGAAGATGAAGACGACGAAGAAGAAGACCACGAATACGTCCGCCCGTACTGTCTGGTTACCGTGGAGCCCATGCTGTTCCTCTACAGTGCCGCCATCTTCATGTTCAGTCCCATATCTAGTCTGTACCTGTATAACTTGGTGGGGAATGACACATCGCCATACTGGAAGCAGGAATACTGTAACTCCAGTGAGACCACCTTCAACACGTCAGATCCGGACTACATCGATGAGCAATACTGGACCGACGGTAGGACAATATGTTTGTTTGTTTGTTTGTTTGTTTGATTAGGATTTTCATTAGTGTGCCAATTTACAATATTCTTCCTGGAGTCCTGGTGATGATGTAAATCACCATGTGGCTTATACGAGACAGGGGTTCGCCAGGACCCCCATCTCAGTGATTTGAAGTAAATCAACAATTTCCAGATACATGTAGTAATATTTTTACCATCGCACACTTGATTTTCAAAGTACATTTTCTGTACTGGTTATATGCGAATTTGGTGGCAACTACATTATAGCAGATATATGTTTTAGCCTGTAACATGTTTAATATTATAAAGCATGTGTAATAAAGCAAATCTTTGATCGAGCGAATGATTAAAACAAAAGCGGTTTTCCCTTTGGCTTAAACTCATTTACTAGTTATACTCCGGCAACATGTTGGCAAAGACGCAGAATTAAGATCAATGCAAGTCTCCATCGTATAATCTTCATGGCTGCATTTCACGCAGTTAACTAGTATGGATGGTTTTCAGCACCAAGGACAGGACCAGACAACAAATTATGTTTTATTAAGCTCCGGGCACATATAGCGTGCGATGCACATACGGAAGCGATCGTCCCGTTCGTCATATATTTGAGATATATTTGAGATCAAGAAACGGGTGCAATAGCTTAATCATAATGTTTAAACTATTGCACCCGTTTCTTCTAAAATCTATAATTTGAACATAGCTCAAATCTTTGATGTAAGGCACGATCCTCACTGGAAAAACCATCGTGGGTGCATCGATATCGTACAATATACATAACCGGGATGGCGTTCAGCACCAGGGACAGGATCAGACGACACATGATGATTGAAAAGTGCCACACTCCATGTCTCTTTTGGTCGTCCCCTTGATTTTTTCTCTGTGGCGTCCACCTTAACGCGATGTCACAATAAACCATTACTAGGGGAAGGCTTTGATGTGTGTATTAATCCGATCTGTAGAGGTGGCGAGATGGGACACGATTATAAACCTGACTCAGGCGGTACCGGGGCTGTTCACGTGCGTCTTCTTCGGCACCATGTCGGACCAGCTCGGCAGGAGAATCAACGTCGTCCTCAGCTGCATAGCCGGGATGATAACCACGGGGCTGTACCTCCTGGTGGTCTACTTAGAGCTGCCGGTCTGGGCCCTTATCCCAGGTAAGTTTCTTTCTTTGTTGGGGATGCAGCATGGTATGACACGTGTTAGTCAGGCAGCAACAAGACTGCAGCTGGTAAATAACTTTTCCCTGCATCACGTATGCGTGTGTCAGGTAAGAAGTACAAACTTCCGCTATCCCGCACTTTTTAAACTGTCTCTTCGTTCCAGGCAGTATCATCGGGGGGCTAACCCCGGGTAGCGCCGTGTTTTTCGCGGCTTGCTATGCCTACGTCGTAGACATCTCCCAGTCCAAAAGAGAAATCGCCATCCGCATCGCCGTACTGGACGCCGTAATCGGCCTAGCGAGTGTTGTTGCTACTGCAATCGCCGGCGTCGTCCTGACGAAGTTTTGGTACCCAAACGGCATCCTCGGCCCCGTCGTCTTTCTCTTCACCGCTCACGTCGTCTGTATCCTGTACACCATCTTCTGTCTGAGAGAGACGCAGCCGACTGACTGGAAGAACGTCCAGCTCTGCGCGCGAAGGTATCTGTATAGCCGGTATATTATAAACCAGCCTTCAGTGTAACACGCCAGCTTCTGTGTCTGTATCTGTATATATAGCCGGTATAACTGCCCTTCATCATCATCTTGCATACTGCTTAGCCCGATTTGCATCGGATTGCCCTTCTACATAACACATCAGCTTTTTATATCCTTTGCACATCTGAGTGTAAATTTGCCTAAAACTATCAATTGATGATGTCCCTACTACACTTGGTGGCAAATGACTTCCACTCTACAATATATAGTTCTAGGGAAAAAGAACTAGTTTTTGGACACTGAATCCTTGGTTTTGTTCGAGGCATGACTGTTTCTTGTTCTTTTCTGGGCAGGCATTTCACAGCCGCCGTCCAGCTGTTAAGAAAGAAAAATGTATCCCTGTACGGTAAGGTCACGAACGGCTGGAACTGGCGGCTCATCCTGTTCCTGTTGGCGGGCGGGTTCTACTTCTCGCAGGCGGAATCCGTGGTGAGCTTCCCGGTCATCCTGACCTCCGCCCCGCCGTTCTGCTGGTCGCCGCTCCGCACGGGGATCCTACAGTCTGCCCTGTCCGGCTGTAGCCTTACGTCACTACTGGGTATCCTGGTCCTGGTCAGGTGGCTCTCCTACCCGACCATCACACAGGTCTGTTAAATTTGTTTGAACCTTTGTTTATTCTTGACAACTTGATCTTCCTCTTTTCGACCCTTACCCATCCACTAAATATCACGTACAACCAAAAAATGTTAGATTTTTACCCTATAAACGGTGGCCGGAGCATGGTTCTCCTTCATAGAAGGACCCATGTATTGGTGAAGATAATAAAATACTATGATGTAAAAAAAATAAAAAAAATAAAAATGGTTCTCCTTCTTCGTTGGTCATCCTCGTCACGAGCATCGAGCATGGCTAGGAGTCAAGTTTGATTCAAATTCAACTCAAATTTGCTTCGATTCATATAGAAAGTAGGCGTGGCTTACTCAAATTTGATTAGATTCGTGTTGCAAAGCTAGGAGGCGTGGCCTAAATCTGGTCAGACTGCTCCCGAACTTCAGCCAACCTTGGTTAATACCGTTGTGAAAAGGTTCTGAACGTGTGAGAGGGGCTTATAAGGCCTAGGAATCACAAAAAATGGCAACTTAGGTAGAGACGTACATCATCTTGTATCCCTAATCTTTTTTTTCACAGATCGGCATGGCGTCTGGTGTGTCGGCCCTGGTGCTGACGGCCCTGTCTACTCTGTGTCCGGACTACAACCTGGCTCTCTACATAAGTAAGTCTGTCTGCTTTAGGTTCTACAAACCAGAAATTCGGGGACACAGCGGCTTTGCCGTCTGACTGACTTGTGCCACTTGTTTAGCCTGGACGTCATCCTTTTTGTTTTGGGGCCCCTTGCACTCGCTATATCCTGGTACAAAAACGGATGGCTCACAGGCTACCACCTGTTAACAATCTTACTATGCCAGTCCCTTATTCTAAGATAACACAGCGTCTGAATCACAAATACCTGTGACATGACCTGATCTAAAAGACAGAATATCTTGCAGCCTTATGAGGAACTAATAATCAAGTTAGGTTGATCAAGACGATACAATTATGCAGTTTTAAGTCTTCACATGCCACTAAAATACAGTATGACAAAGTACATATTTCTGCCTCCCTCCCCCTGCAGCTCCTGTTCTTGGCTTGTTCCTCACCATGCCAGAGTCAATGATTTCTACAGAACTGTCTCTCATGACAAGACAAAGTGATCAAGGTACTTATACAGTCTTTCACTATACTGGTTTTTAATGATGTAACAGTGGGGTCCCATATGGTCTAGTGGTTAGGATTGGCACTCTCACGGCCAAGGCCCGGGTTCGATTCCCGGTGTGGGGACCACTGTAAGAAACAGGGGGAGTGAGTAGAAACAGATAAAAACCCCTGGTCCCGGGCCGAACCCACGACCTCCCGAGCACCAGTTTACAAACCCGACGCTCCTACCGAATGGGTTAAAAGGTCTAGAGCCGTCAGCCGGGTCATTTGGTACCGCCTATAACCCTCCACTGTTACAATGATACAAGGTTTCTATACTGACTCCTAACTCAACACAATGAAATACACATCATAAGTACCCATGATGAAGATCTCTTTTCTAAACTAAATACATTAGTTGGACAGTCATGCTTTTTGGTAACTGTAATTTTCCTCACTTTATAGCTTTCTTCTTTTCCCAGGTTCCCTGTTTGGTTTGATTGGGTTCATACAGGGTGTGATGACCATAGTCACAACTCCTCTGCTAAACTACATCTGGGGCGTGACTGCCATGGGTATCATACCAGGGTTTGTTCAGCTGATGTCTGCTCTGTTAGTGGGTGCAGCATCAGCCATGGTCGGGTAAGAAGCCAGACTGTCATTTGTAACATATTTGTTTGTTTTGAATACCCAGTAAACTGCTATTGTTGGGTAAGAATCCTTACTGTGTTTTTGTTTGTTTTGAATACTCACATCAGTTTTGTACAGTAAGTACAAGCTGTGTAAGACCAGACTGTAAGGTTTGATCCACTTATACCGGGAAGGAGCCCTACTCTTTCTGATATGGTGGGGTGGGTTCTTTAACATGCTTGAGGTGTGGCTCTCCTCAAACACCGAACCACCAACTTTATGTCCCATCCAAGGGGACGTCCCTAACTAGAAGCCAGGTACTCAGTTTCACCTGAGTCAAGTGAGGAAATAGGTTTAAAGTGTCTTTATCAAGGGCAGAACTTTGGCAATTTGAACCTTAACAACAACCCTAACGTCAACCACAAGACCATCTTGTCACCACAACTCTTCACCACAGAATTATTCAAAACTGTATTGTACTGAAAACTGTGTGCAATACTTTTTGAAGGAAAAACCCCTAAACTCTCTCATCCTCTTTCTCTTCCCCTCAGAATTATCCAGTACTGGGACCGGCGGTCCCCACCTGAGTACCCTCTTGACTCTGATGAAGAGGACTCAGACACGGAGAGCGACACGGGCCGCATCAATACCGACACTGATGACCTTGTAGCCAGACGCAACCCTACAATTATTTAACCCTCCAAAGGTTGATCTGATTTACTAATGAGGCCAAGGAAGCAAGTCAGCAGAACCTACTGTATCTGCACAAAACCCTGATTTTTTATGGTTTTCGCTGAATGTTTGGTCAAAGTTGCATCAGAATTTTACCTGTTGCAGACAATGTCTTTTCCAACACAGCCTTTGGAAACTATGGACGGAGTGTTAACCTTATATGCACAAATACGACCTATGCACAATCACATTACGGGTTTCTCACAGGTGCAGTACGTTCTGCCGACATGCTGGCTAAGGGCATAGTAGAGAGTAGAGACAGGGTTAATAATAATCTTTGGTGATATAAAAAGAGGAAGTATGGATTTACATAGTCAATGCAGAGAGTGGTGTATTGGGTATCACAAATATCAACATCTTTCGTTCTGCATATACTGATTCAAATATCAACATGTATATGCTGATTACAAATATCAACATGTTTTGTTCAGTATATTATATAACTGGGTCCTCTTGAAAATCAACTATTACAAGTTGTGCTTTGATGTAATAAATAAATAGATAAACTCTAGAATAGGTAGCCAGTGATTTTGTTGGATTTTAACTTTGTAAGTTTAAAACATCCAAAAAACACAAGGATCAAAGTAGTCAACAACAACACAAGGCCTTATGTAGCAGTACCTTTTAAAGTTATTAATAAATACATGATATCTGACTGGTACACAGGAACACATTTATTATTTTGTTGTAGTTGTAACCTTAATTTCAGTAAAGCCTTTGCCTTTTTCTGTACATTTTAAGGGCTACTGACTCAATGACCTTCCCCCATCCACCGGTAAGACTTGGCCAGTGATATAAGGAGCATCCTTGACCAAGAAAATGATAGCCTTTGCTATGTCTTCTGGGCTGCCCTGTCTGCCCATGGGTATCCTACTCAAAGAATTGTTAACGTCCCACTCGTGATCAGGCCATAGAATTGCTCCAGGGGCAACAGCGTTTACCCTGATGTCTGGTGCAAGGTCTTTGGCAAGGGCCATGGTTGACATGATCAGGCCGGCCTTGGCGATGCAGTACAGGGAGTAACCTGCCAGGGGGCGCTGTCCATGGATGTCAGCCATGTTGACAATGCAGCCTTTGGTGGCTTTGAGATGGGGGATGGCAGCCTGGAAGGGATTGAGAGGAAACATGTTCACTTGATATATGCTGGTATACAATACATGTGTATATACAATGTCATGTACATGTAGTTGCAGCAACTGGGATGTCTAAAACTTGAACTATAGGATTCTAAATTTTCTGAACATGTCTTGAAACCTTTGCGGCAACAATTCAATTTAAATTTATTCAATTTGACACAAATCGTACGAAAGCAGGGATTGGCTGTGGCACCCCTGAATTCAGTGCTCGGATTTTTAAGGGTTGATTAAAAAGTTAATGAATTGATGAAAGCAAATGATAAGTCATGTGTGTCATCTGCATAACATGACATCACAGAAGTGGTGGATTGCTCATTCCTTGACAAATGTAAGAAACAGGAGGAGACAGTAATAACCCCACTGGTCCCGGGCCGGGGTTCGAACCCACGACCAAGCCCGGGCACCAGTCCACAAGCAGACACTCTAACCTCTCCGCTAAAAGGTCTAGACCCATTTGCCGGATCTGTTGGTAGTGCCTATAAACCCCCCACTGTTACACTACTCCCCCTTTTCTTTTCAAGATTCGTCCTCGAATCTTCCGAATTCGACATCCCTGGAGCGGCACTCTTTGCCAGAACTCCCGATTCCCGGTGTGGGAACCACTGTAAGAAACAGGAGGAGACAGTAAAAACCCCACTGGTCCCGGGCCGGGGTTCAAACCCACGAAACACAAAGACTGGAGTCTAATTTCTTGTGTTGGAAATTACAGTAGAGTTAGACCTGCTTCATAATGACTTCTACCATGTCTACCAACACAGATGAACTTATAACAAGATATGGAAAATAGTTGTTGTCTGGGTAAAGAAATCCCAAGTCATCACCTGAGACAAGAAGAAGGGTGCCTTGAGGTTACTGCCCATGACTGTCTTCCACTGGTCTCCATCCACTGTCCCCAGGGGGGTGGGGAAGAAGTCGGAGGCGTTGTTCACCAGAACGTCCAGCCGACCCCACTTCTGTGCCGCAGCGCTGATCAGCTACATGGAGAAAGGGACGTTGGATTGTTTGAGCTGTCATCTTTGTTTATTCTTACAATGTTACAATATTGTTGCCAATGTTACATTTAGCCTGGGTGCCATCCTCTGTAGTTTCCACTGTGAGTGCGAGTGAGTGAGTGAATGAGTGAGTAAGTGAGCAAGAAAATGATAAACAGCCATCTCACCTCCTTTGCCATCTTCTCAGTGTCTCCCTTACTGAAGTCTGCCTGTAAAGTGACTGCAGAATCTGGGCGAACACTAGGAGTTAAAAACAGAGTACAGTTTACTCAATGTTTCCCATCATCTACATGTCAATAGAATTCCTGTAGGATCGTTAAAGAATAAATAAAGCGAACCCGATGTGGGCCAGGCCGCCACTCTACCCTCCCTACAACAGAGACTGGATTAGAACGTCTTTTGGACCCAGCGACAGACCTCACGGCTTCAAGTGATGTGCTACGCAAGGACTTTGCATTGCAGTAGCAAAGTTAGGAAGAACTATTTTCGAAAGAACCATGGTTTTTCGTTTGGATTCTGGAACATTCACGGACTAGGAAAGAAAGTAGATGATAGTTACTTTATTAATGAAATAGAAGGGTTCGACTTTTTCTCTCTACTTGAGACGTGGCACACAGGTGA